TACGATAAAATGGCTTTTATTTCCCCCCATACAAAATTGATCCAGCCTAATGTATACTAAGGATTAATTATAATATCATTCGGAGAACATTTTGAATATTTACTTGAAATTCACGGTTATATTTGATCTTTGAAGGATTGTAACAGAATTCGCATAATGTTACATGACCACAGCGAATATATACGATTTCGCACGGATTTATTTTACAGTTTATACTGATTTTGAGATTTCCAGCATTTGGAACTCCCGAGGACCGTCAGAAGTGTATGCGTTCGAATATTCCTTAAAAAACTCGATCAAACCATCATCGAATTCGTCCTCAATTTCAATGTCCAATCCGTCTTCTTTATCATTTACTAATGAAGTTTTCTCGACTACCCTTTCTAAAGCCACCTTCGATATATTGTTCAATATTTATTTGGTCCTCTCACAATAACTTGTCGGTTTCAGAATCCCGGAATCGGTTTCAGAATGACCGGTGGCTGATAACCATCATTCATAACTCGCAAAAATTGGGTAGACAAATGTTTTCCGAATGCATCATTAGCTTTCTAAAGCCGAAGTGGTGCATTCATTCAACATTTTTTAAAAATAAAGCACACAATTAAAAAAGAACCGTATAAGGCATACGATTTCCACACACCGATTTTAACCAACAGCCTCGAAAACATTCGAAAATTTGCTGCATTAATGGAAAATAATTGAAACTCATAGCTTGTGCTACCAAAATCTTATATCTATCCATTATTTTATCTCGTGGAAAAAGTGGTAAAAATAATAATCTCATATAGATCACCTCGGCTTTCGGAAAACTGACCTTTTTTTTTCAAAAAGTTTTAAGCGAAAATATCTAATTTTGCGCCGGACTTCGAGCTTTGACACTAAAATTTTAAAAAGTGGGGTTCAGCGGCTCATTTAATATACAATATTATCATGGAACTTATGTCTGACATAACTCCCATGAATCAGATCTGTGTGTGTCATACATAACTTCCATGGAACTTATGTCACGGTTTGGTGGAAGTTATGTCGAAACCCCGTCTCAGTGGATTTGCGTCATTGATAGGCAAATTGTTTCTTGTTCACAGGCCGTTCCCTTAGGTTGATTCTCTGATATGCTGATCGAGTATTTTCTCCATGCGTTTTAAGAGAAAGGAATACAATGCAGCGACAAAAATTTCTGGTAAGAACTGTCTTCATTTTTATTATGGCAGATGCACGCTGTAAACTTTGATTTTTTGGATTATGACACGCAGCAAACTAGTAGTCAAATATTTCTCTTTATTCGATTCTTAAAAACTTTAGAAAGTATACGCACACCGAGCAGAGCTCTTACTATCGGAATATCTCCGTTGGAGGAACCACCTAGACTTCTGATAATTTGCAAGTAATTTCATTTTGAATTACAGAATAAGTATATGAATTTTCAGAAGTGTATGTAGTGGCTAGGGCATTCAATCCCGTCCCGAAATCCCGGGATTAGAGCTCCGGGATACCGATAGTTTTATTGATTCATTAACACAGTGAAAGAGATGTGGACAACGAAAAAAAAGAATTCATCTGACATGAAACACGAGAAATACAGAACATAAAAATTTGGAACTTGATTGATTTTGAACTTGAGCCACTTGCACTTGGAAGTGAATTTCAGGACCTGCCTGAATAACTGTACTTGTTCAAATATTTTGTGCAAGAACTGTGTAATAACGAAAAATCTGGTAGCAATTGAAAACACAACAAGCTTTTAGAGTGTGACAGAGTTGTCCTTCATTTTACTTTGTTGGCCTTTTTAGGAAAAGGATTTCTGCAAATATGAGTAAATGCTTTTGACAAGTAAAATATGTAAATATTTTAGAATAAAAATATTTAAACATTAAATTACGTACTATTTTGCTAACTGGCAATCTGTGTGGTTTGAAAAAGGCGAACCTACTGTACAATGCAAAAAGTTGTGGTGAGTCGAAATCCCGAAAAATGTCGGGACCCCGGGATTAGAATTTTTAAATCCCGAATTCCCGGGATTGTTAAAATGCTTCTGAATTGAATGCTCTAGTAGTGACATAATTGTTGCCAAATTGTTTTGCCTTTTGACGGCTCTTTAACTTCCACCCAGACTTTTAACAATTTTTTTTGCCTACATTCTTATGTTATCTTCGTTTATATTGTAAACTTTCAGAACTTTTCCTAAAAAAAAATTGCATGTTTAACACCCTGTAAAAGTTAAAATTTCTACTTTGCTGGGTCACCTCCACCCCTATGTAGCCAGCTCTTAGACTACATTACTGAATCCTTCGTAATTACGATTTTCGATCTACGAAAATACTATTACTGAATCCGAATAGCTACGAACGTGAATTCGAAATTCGAAGTACGAAATTTTGTTGGGCTGCTGGACGGCTATTAACAAATGCATTGTGGTCTAAAAAAAATATGGAATTGAAATTGCAAATTTATTTAATTTATCTTCTCTGAATTAACAACAAATTATACTTTCAAAGCCAATATTTCTTTCATGGGAAATGGTTGTGCGCCAAAAATTTTCCGCGGAATTTTAATTGTCCATATTCGTAAGATATTGATGTTTCCTAGCGATTAAATTCCTTACAATTTATTATCAGTTACCAATACAAAATGTATTGTCACTTAGAATACATTAGAAAGGTACTAAAAATGTATTGTTTACTTTGCTCTAGATCTCGAAACCTCAAAATGTTGCATTCGAATTTGGCAACAATGTTTGCGAGTTGCTCAGATTCAGTGATAGCAGTTTTTTTTATTCGTAGCAAGCATTCAGAATCGTAGATTTTGTACGATGGATTCAGTAACTGGCTCAATGGTATTTCGTACGGTATTAAGAGAGCGAGTGGGGGAGAGTGCAGCTTTCAATCATAAACTGAAATGAACTCAAGTAACCATTGAATGTATATAAGTATAAGGACTGTGCCGAATAAAATTGCCCGCTACATAAATGATTATATGTTTTGAACCAGATGTCAGATTTTCAAAAACCAAAACATATTATTTTAAAAGCTTTTATTTACTTTCACCAGTGTGTAATCAAGTCTTGCAATAAATTTTTAACCAACTTCCCGATAAGCTAGAGAACTGAAACTTCAAACGTAGCTCAGAACCCGATGGCAATGCAATACAAATAAAGATGAACCAGTACGCTAGGTGGCGCAGGTGCCGAGATATTTGAAAACCGCGTATTTATGGTCCGATATGGTTCACGATTGAGAGAATACAAAGGTTGCGCCGATCTCGGACCGCTATTCCTCTCTTAACGAGTTTGACAGAATCGTTGTTTGCATGACGTCACACTTGTGCAACTTGTTTACGTTTTCCTCGCAACATTTTTTTCTTCTTCTTCCATTCTTGCTCACGTTTTGGCATTTCTCGCTCGGAATTGCACCAGTCAGTGACGTCACACAAAAGTTATTCTCAAAAATCCTCTCTGATCGGCGCAATCTTGTATTCTCTCATTCTTGGATATGGTTCATATTTGCATTACATGGAAGAAAATATGTAGCTCCACAAAAAATTTTGCCGTTATGTGGCGCGAGGTCGAAATATTTCAAAACCCTTTATCTATGGTTCGATTAAGTTTATGTTTAGAATACATATTGCTTGTTTGAAAAGGAATAACTCTACAAAAAACTTTGCTGATAGGTGGCGCAGGAGTCGGTATTTGGAAACCCCGTACTTATGGTCCGATTCGATTCAAATTGGAACAAAAACAGTTTTTTCGCTTTTATTAATTTCTTAAAAAAAATTTAGTTCAATGACTTGTTTAGAATTATTAACAAATTCATATCAAATGGTAAGAAACAAGAACTTTTATTTCAACCGACTTCACAAAAGGAGAAGGTTATCAATATATATAATAAAAAACTTTAGTTTCTCTGGAACCGCGCTCATTTGCTTAGGGTAGTCTCTGACACCCTCACAGCTGCTGGAGACCACTTTCTTTAAAAATCTTGAAGGTCCTTACCACTTGTTTCTTTACCTCCATTTATCTAGTGGAAACTATAGTGGATAAATCATGTAAGCGCAGGAATGGAAGCTATCTTTTTTGTAAGCATTTCTTCGTCTATAAATCACTGTTGATCGTCCCGGACGACGCGAATGAGCCGCTTTTCGTGCCACAAATTCAGACGGCCTGCAAACAAAGATTTGCAGGGAAATTTCGTGACTTTTTTGCTCTAAAATTTTCAGCACTATTTCGGCTGTATGAAATTCTTCTCCTGGAAGGTGCCCAAAATCCACTAATACGTATTTCTCGTCGACCATTGTGAAGCGTAGGAATTTCCCGACAAAAAATTTTTATCAGCAATTTAACTCGTTCTTTTGTAGTATCGTTCATGACAGAATTTTTATCTGGAACTCTTCCACCTTGTATGTCTTCAGTCCTACTTCTTTCTTAGTTCTATACAAAAAAAGATTCTGCGAAGTTGACCTTACTTGCCAACTTCTATTCAGCAATGTTGGGATCTTTATGTAGTGTGGTAAAAATTGTATTTGCCTAATCGCAATCATGTAACCCTTTCTGTTTAGCAGAACCTTTCTTTCGAGCAATATGTCGGTTGGATTTGAACCGTTTTTGCAACCCGGAAACCTATTTTGCGATAACAACACGGAAATCTATTTTGTGGCAAACTTTAATCATATTTTCTCGCATTTACAATTTCCTTGCCATTTTCATTATTCTCTGGCATGTAATGCAGAACTAATATGGTACAAAAAAATTTAATTTGAAAATTTTATTATTACAATATGGGGAAACTGTATGACGGACAATTTTATTCGGAGTGCAAATAGCACTTTTTTGCACAGGAATGAAGTACATACGTAATGCTCATTGTGAATTTAAAGCATTTGTTGATGTTAAAATGAAAGCGTACAATTGTAGAAAAATGTGTATACGTATTCTCCTCGAAAGTCAAAATAAAATTAGGGGAAGACGCAATTGTGTTTGCTGAGAGATGGTTAATCAAAAATACCAATATGATTTCGATGATGCTGTGTTTGCCCAAGTAATAAAGCATTCTCACTCTCTTCAGGATTATCGCTGACTCCGGCATATACACTCATATCTGCTTCACCTTCACATTCCACATCATCGCAATCTTCCTCCTGCTGCGGAAATGAAAATGTCACATTAATCGGCCGTGCCAATTTATTCTTATACTGATGTTCAAAAAGTATTGGATTGTAAAGTGTGTTCTTCCACTGCCGGCTCAGCACAATGACGCCCTAAAATGAGTAAGTTTCTTCATATTAATTGTCATAAGTAGTTTTGTGTCGAGCAGAAACAAACCTGACGCAACGTATTCAAATGTGGCACGTCACTTTTCTGGAAGATTTGCTCGACTTTTTGTACACCTTCGTCTAGCACTAGTTTTTGCATTATAAAGCAGAGTTGACAACTCGGATCCTCTTGTAAAGTTTTCGAAAGCAGCGTGTAGTTGTTGACATAGCGACTCTGTGATTCAACCGAAGGAAATTATAAATGCTTCACCACTTGTATTTTCGAACTATTCAAACCTTTTTGATTTTGGGACTGCGCTTAATTTTTTCGTTATCCAACGCATCTGCCATTAGACAGGCGGCTATGGCGGTTTGGCGCGTATGCAAGGCCCGCATTAGTGATACAATTTTAATAGCTAAGCGGTTGCTGGGGTTCATCCAGGCAGTGATGGCGGGAGAAGCTGTGCTCAGAAGATTCCAATCTAGTCTGGAAAGTAGCGACATAATAAAAAATAATAATGAACTAGCGTACCCGGTAAACTTCGTCTCGCCCAAAACTAATTTTTTTGTTGCAACATTTGGTTCGGTTTTCTACCCAATTTAGCCGGTCGGCCCAAAAAGTTCTAGCAACACTGCTCACAGTACTGAGTTGAGTATACTCTGTATACTCACTCGGCTAGGCCAAACGAGTGAACGAGGAAGGCGCGCTCGGAGTGTACTATACAACAAATGCCATTTTGTGCATAAAAATGTGTGAATCTATGTCAACAGATTATGTATGAATATATCACGACGTAGAGCAAAGGAGCTTTTTGGAAAACACAATCGTCCACACTGAACATTTTGAGTTAACTTTGACGGTTGTTTGATTACCAATAAAAATTCGAAAAAAAAATATTCAAAATCAAGTGTGTTTCAATTTGTTTTGTGCGAATGTCTGCTTCATGATATTAATGCATACGGATTACTTAGAGACTTTAAAATATTTAGTTCGTATGCACTATTTATCTCTGCGTACGAAGATACCTGATGGGAAATAACTAATTACCGGCTTGGCCTCTATTTTGGTGGGGAGACATGCATACAATATTGATATTTTTTGATAGTTTTAAATTTAATATTTTTGAGAATATAAATTTTTTGAACGCTGGCGTGTCAAATGAAAGCTTTTGGGTCTTTCTGATTGGCCGGAGCAGAAAGCTTTCTGATACAACTCAAACGAGTTAAATGATTTAACTGGTTCAATTTTCAATTTAACTTGTTTATGAACATGTTTTGTTCATTTAAGGGTGGTATGTAGCTCTCAAGAAATCGGTCAAGAAAAATTTGCCATTATTTCGTGTGTGTGTCCAAGGAATTTTGACATTTTTGATACTTCACAGCCTGTTGCCTCACTCTTTCCTCAAGAATAATGGAAAATTTCTTAGCCATTTCTTGTACGTCATTTTGTATGGAATTTTAGCTTTTCTTGAGAACTGCATACAGGCCTTTAACTGGTTCAAGCCAATTTAACATTTTTAGCTCGTCAGTTTGAACGTAGTATTATTTATAGCCATTATTAGTATTATTATTAGTAGCCATGATAAAAAAATAAGAAGGTAGAACCGCTGAGAGGAATTTTTCATATTCTTGACGTTTGCAAGCATTTTAATTTTAAAATTTTAGACACAAGCTCACACACACATTCTCATTTTCAATCTCAAACAACAACAGCTTTGAAAAATTCCTTTTTTTTACTCTCAATTTTATATGATTTTAAAATGTTGGCCGACGAATTGAGAGAACGGTTTTACCAAGGCATATTCAACAAGGTAGAAGTGAAAACAGAGAAATTAACCCTTTGTTATGCATTTACCATATTTGATAGAACTCAACATCTTTGAAATGAAAGTTTTTGTAAATATGAAAATATTTAAAATCTCATTAGAATCAGCTTCATTTTATTTATTGAATTTTGGGTTTAATGTAAATATGGGAATGCATACTTACACAAAATTACACACTAAATGAAACACACTCATTTATAAAACCGTTTTGACAATTTTCTTGCATTTACTATCCCAATGTTTTTGAGCATTTATTTTTTTATTGAAATACTTAATTCTAAAGTATATTAGTCATTAAAAAAGTTTGATTCTTCTAAATTTACATCAGAACTTAACTTCAATAATTTAGCTATTAAATTTTTCCTATTCGAAATTTCCTTTCCATTAAATTTATTAAAAATTACTTTCAGTTTCTTTATGTCAACAAGGAATACTGGTTTAGGTTTTATCAGACCACCATTTGAAGTTTGGCCTATCCATGTATGTATATGAAAGGGAGATTTTCTTTTCATATTCGGTATGATAAATCCTGCACCTGGGACCAAACGCGTCCACTTAGAAATACTCGGCTGCGATGGGCAACAAATAAAGTCACGACCACACGTGAAGAGTCTCCTAATGAAACATCTCAGCAAATTGGCCAACGTGGCCGCTTCACTTGACAATCCGAATGTTTAAAATAACGCACAAGTTTGTTGTCCAGGCTCTTGACAAACACAACACACCGCTCGCAATTCCTTTTCTTTTTATATGTATTTGAAATCAGTCGCACAGCTCACAATTGAAAATTTATATAAAAAAAAATTTTTGAATAGTATAGGGTTAAGAGTTGACATTTCAGTCGCAGTTCAAAAGAGAGAAATGTCGAAATCCCTTCTACCTTGTTATGCCTTGGGTTTTACCTTACTATGTTTTTATCATGGTATTAGCTTTAAGTTTATTGGGAGCTTTGACAATTTTTCCCTGAAATCATTTGACGCTGAGAGCTTGCTGGTGTATTTGTTTTTAACCGGCTTCACAAAAAGAAGAAGGTTATCAATTCGTCGGAATATTTTTATTAGTTTTTTTATGTATGTTATCGCATAACTTTGGACCACGTTAACCGATTACTATAATTCTTTTTTTTTTTTTAAAGACAAGTGTTACCTCACAGGTGGTACCATTCAAATTTGGTTTAAATCTGATCATTGGATCATGAAAAGATTAACGATAATCTTAAATTCTTATATGGGAATTGAAGTCGGTTTTGTTTTTTGCTTAAAAATTACTTGTTTATGCAAGCATTTGTTGAAAATGCAGTCTCACATAGAAATGTAAAAGTAAAAGTCACTCGCATTTTTAGTGCGATCTTGCCAACAGAAGTGTTTTCTTCATCTAGATTCTAGAACTCTCTTGGCCCCCCTTCGTAGCATTTAATATTCAAAGTGCTGTCTTCACTGATATCCAGAAGGTTTTCAAAAGCTTAATTTGTCATCTCAGTAGGTTTACTTTTCGGGTCGCATGAAAACGGGTTTGTTATCCAGCTGTAGACATCCTCAGAGTCAATGTTGGAAAAATATTCGACAAAGCTTTTTTCTAAACCTTCCAAGTTAACGCTGGTAATGCGCGTTAACGCTAAGAAAACAACTTTTACAGGCAATTTCACAAAAGCAATTTAAGTGAAAAATGGTTTTAAATTTTGGAATTTTATATGGAAATTGACAGAAAATAAAAAATAATTTCCCATTTAAATTGCTGGTGGAACCGTTTCACTGATCTAAGCTTGCTATACAGTTGAATGCGAGCGCTAGCGTGAACGTTCGCAAAGGCAAAATGCGCTGGCCCAATGCAGGCTTGCTTTGCTTGCTTAGCTTTGAAAACTGTCAAAAGTTATTTGGAATAGACTAAAACGTATGAAGGGTGGTCAAATGGCAGCTTTGCTTCACTTGCTTTAAGCGCCTCAAAGTTTCAAATAGGCAAATGTTTTATTTGAAAGCGTTTCGTGGGCTTTTGACAAAAAGATATGTTCCCGTTATAAATCAATTCAAACAAACTGCTGCAGACTTTTATGTACAAAAATTGTCTTACGTAATTTAAAAAAATATATGTATAATATTAGTAATTCAAAGTTTAATAAAAAGTAATCTATGCTTCCATATTTATATTTAACATGTCGCTGGCTTAAAGTGAAAAGTTGCTAAGTCCCATTTTACAAATTTTACAGGAACTTTGAATACAACATTTTGCGTGTTTAAAGCAAAGCAAAACTCCATAAAAATCAGAAGGATTCGATCTCTGTTAAAAAATTTCGTATTATTTTGGCCTTATTGCATATTCAGGGCCTCTTTTGGACTTATAAAATTTATCTTTCATTGAATATAAACGAGAAAAAACAAAACAAGTACCTTAGTCCTTAATTTCTCTTACATTCTATGTCAAAATTTGAGGCTTCATAAAATGCAGACTTATCAACTTTTCACACAAAGCTAGCGATATTTATGATGTCAAGCTACTGGTAAGTCGTCTCTTGAAAAATCGATTTTTTTTTGAGTTTTTTGTTTCTAATAAATGTACATATATGTAGTAATATATGTATGTATAATTGTTATCATTCCTTTGAAATGCAAAAATTAATTCACATTCATTTAAAAATAAATCTGAAGGGATGGTTTTGTATTTCTTTTTTTTTAATTTTCTGGAATTTGATGGCAAAATTATTCTTAGTGTAAGGAAACAGACCTTGACTTTTTGGCCCCTATTATGAGTTGCATTCGATATTCGCTGGCTATCGAAGATCGAAAGCGAAATTCGTATTATGAGCTATGCAAGCGTGTCGAAATTTTCGTTGAGTATCGAATTTTCTGTCGAACAGAATTTTGCTTTCGTTGGTGTAGCGAAATGTTAGAAAATTTAAAAAATGTATGATTTTGCATTTGTTTTCTTACTTTTTGGCGGCTAGACACTAATTTTAAACAATTTGTATTAATTTCAAGCAGTTCTAACGTCGTGAATAGTAAACACAAGCTCGAAAGTCTGGTTTTGCATATAAAATAAAATCCCTATACGCTGTTGGCACGATCTCTGAAAACAAAATCATGGAGCTGTTTATAGTTTTAATATATTTTAAATAGATTTGGATCACAAAATTTCTTAAATATATTGTATGTCAAAATATATTCGAAACCATGATATAAAAAAGAAGGTAGTTTCATTGTCACTTTTCGGGCGCCATATTAACTACCTGACAATTAAGCAGATTGTGACATTTCGTGCTAAAATACGTAGTCCCAAAAATATTTTTTTTGTCAAAAATAAATAAATCACAAAATGAACAGAAAATTTGTCTTTGTTGCGAGCAGCTAGGAAAATTAAAATTTATACATGTGCACCTCTTTATATTTGCAACAAAAGCAACCTTCCGTGAAATTAAAAAAACGCAAAAACTATTTAGTATTAAATATACTATATACTTGTATTCATTATAAAGCCAATCATGGTAAAAGGATTTGGACACAATAAAGTAGATGTGCTTCGCAAACGTTAATTTGGAGTAAAATTAACGCCCAAGTAAGTCTTTAATTTACTTCGTACCTTGTAAGAAGAAGGATCGGATTGGTTCTTCATGTTGATAAACGATTTAGCATGTAATTTACTTTTCGTATATCCAGTTACTCCTAATCGA